TTTTTTTTTTTTTTTTTTTTTCAGGTCTACCTTACCTGGTGTTTGCTAATGATCATCTTCTATCCCCTAATACCCCTTTTCTTTTCTTTGTTTTGCTTTTTATTGATCTGCTCGTTTTTCCTAACCGGCAGAATTCTGCTACAAACTCAGCATTCTCTCACTGGAACAGGCTTGTAACCGAGGAATGCGTCTTGATTTTTTTTTTTTTTTGAAATAAAATGATATTTTGAGTCTGTGAATTGCACGTATCTTGATACCGTCTTATTGTTACTGGGCTCATTTATTTCTTTAATATGTTTTTTTTTTTTTTTTTTCTTGCTTCTCCTTGACCCATATATACACATATATATTAGAATATTTTTTTTTTTCTGGACGATTGGGACCATTACACCATTATTCATTGGTGTCATCCTCTACTCCTTTTGAATTATTTTTTATTTTTCGTTTTATTTGTAAATTTTCTGAGAGCGCATGTCTTCTAACATTATTGATCACAGCTTTTTCTTTACACCATTAGAGCGTGATCGAATTGCTCATGCAGAAACTTTTGTAGAAACTCGTCCAAGTGGTTTTGTCACACTTGTCTTTCGTCCATTATGGCTGGCAATGAGTACACATCTGGTGCCAGAGATGGTGGCGCCGAATGCCATCACACTTGCGGGACTTGTAAGCTCCATGCAGTCATATCAAATTATTAGTGAATACTACAATAAGAAATCGACTAGTGTAAACGATCTCACAAATCAAACCCCAATTTTACTTTCCTGTTTACTTTGTCTTGTATCAATTGTCTGTGGTTCTTTAGATGGAGTTCATGCGAAACGTTGCCGATCAGCAACCCCATTAGGTGATATTTTTGCGCGTGTATGCAGTAGCATTTCTCGTATTTTTTTCGCTCTTACACTTATGGAAGTTTTTAATGTGAGAAATCATTCCACACAGTGGTATGTGCTTATGTCACTTCAATTAGTGGAGTTTAACACGGTTCTTGCTCGCATTAACGCTGAAAATCTTAAACCTCAAAAGGCAAAAAATCTCGCTTATCATCTAACGTATTGCTTTCGTGACTCAGAGTTATCATTTCTGATGCTTTGCGCATTGATCACACAACTTGCCCTTCCAACGCAAAATTTTGCTCATTATTTTAACCCCAAAAATGCAAAATACTGTTTTTTGACGTTAGTTTTTGTGAGTTTTGCCAATGTAGCATTATTAAAAATGAATCCCAAATATAAAACAGGTATTGCTCTTTGTCTCGCAGCTCGTGTAGTACCATTATTTAAGATTCTTACATTTAACAATTACAGCATTCTCAGTGTTATCAGTGGGGCTCTGGTGGTTGCACTTCTTTCTATAGAAGTTCATGTTAGCAATGTGGCTGGACGTCGAGTACATGCGGCTGTAGTATGCATTTGCATAGGATCTGTGTTTAATGATTTATTTTCTATTGTAGCCTCTGTACTTTATATTGTTGGTATGTTAGTAGATCTTTCTTACTCAACCCGTATACCACTCTTTGTACCTGTGAAGAATGTCTTTTGCGATGGAGTCTTTGACCTTTGTCACGCTGGTCACAAGAACTTTATGCAGAACGCACTGCAGTACGGAAATCGCCTTATTGTTGGTGTCTGTGGGGATGAGGACTGCGCGGCATACAAGCGACGTCCCATCATGACAACAGAGGAACGTGTGAATGAAGTTCGGATGTGTAAATTTGTCTCGCAGGTGATTCCGAACAGTCCGGTCTCTGGAGTGACGGAGGAGATGATCCGGCGGCACAACATTCACGTGGTGGTCTGCGGCTGCGAGTACGACCGGCCGGACGACACTTTTTACGCCGTCCCGCGGCGGCTGGGGATTCTCCGCACGGCCCCCCGCACCGCCGGCATCTCGACGAGTGTTCTCATCGCCCGCATCCGCGCCGCGACGGACGACGACGTGGTCGCGAAGGACAAGGCGAATGGGCGCTCCACCGTGCAGGAGGGCGCCTGACACTCACACGCTGCCTTACACACATAAAGAAGAAGTAGAGGGTTGGTGTTCCATAGGCATCCAGAGTGTGAGAGGGAAAAAGAGGGGGAGGGAGATAATATTAAACACCAAAAGAAGAAAGTGGAGAGAGAGAGAGAGAAAGAGAGGTAAAGAAGAAAATGGAGGTTAATCTGAAGAAGAAGAAGAAAGGAAAGAAAGAAGACGAGGAAGAAAAAAACGAAAAGAATAGTATAGTAAAAAAAAAAAAAAATACATATAAATATATTTGTACAGGTGGTGGTAACTACATTATAAAACGTGATAAGAAAGTTGATGATGATGATGATGATGAATGTCTTAACGCCATGACATTGCTGAAGTACTGAAAATGGTAACAGAAAGAGAAAAAAGCAAAATGTGATGAGAGAGAGAAAAGGCAGAGCCCTCCCCCCCTCCCAAAAAAGAAAAAAAAAATCTTTCTTTATTGTCGCTGTTTTTTTTTTTTTTTGATTGAACTTCTCTTTCGCCCTTCTGTTGTTACCCATCTCCTTTTGAGGTAGCGGTGAAAGGGTTTCTAACGCTGCGTAACTTCGGTTGCGTCCTGATAAGGATTCTAAATGCATTTTGCAATTCTCCTTATTTCTTTTTTTTTCTGTTTGTATGCGTTATTCTGTGACAGTGCGCTTTCACTCTCTCTATCTTTGTACAACTCACACTGCTCCTTTCTTTTTCAATCTCTCTCTCTCTCTCTCTTTTCTTTTCTCGTAGTTCCTTTATTTGTCAAGGGTATTCTTTTTCGTGAGTAGTGGAAAAAGGAAGTTTGGTTGAGACGGGAAATAGCTATATCACTATTACAAAAGTGTACTCTAAGTGAGTAAAAGAAATATAGGTCTTGTTTCTCACTCATAAAGGTAAAAACGTGAACAGAGGGATAAGAGGAAAAATAAACGAAACAAGAAGGAGCAGTAGTTATTTGTTTGTGTAATTAATTATTATTATTATTTGTTTTTTTTTATTTGTTTGATTTATTCGCGGGAGGTGACTATTCTTTCTACGAGGTCTTATATCAGCCTTTCTATTATTAACGTTGACAGAAAGGTTGGTTATAGTCACTCTATTTTTAGTGTTGGGACTCCAAAACACCTTTAGCACCGGTAAGGGTACGAAAAATTGCTAATCAGCATTATTTTGCCTTAAGCAGTGTTCTAGAATAAAGAATCAAATAACAAAAAAATAAGAGAAAATTGTTTGAAGAAAATTTAAACTGAAGGCGGAGTGTAAAAAAAGAAAAAGAAAAGATAACCAAAAATAAAATATATAAATAAATAAATAAAAAAGAACTAAAAGAAACAGAGATACAATCTATACGAAGATGTCCATTCCAAGTGGCAATGTACACCTTGGTGATGCAATTTACCAGTCTCACTTCGGTGATCAAAATGCCGGAGAAAACAACCTTGCTGGTGGTACACATACTCGTTTCTTTGGACAATCTACTAATCCGCCCACTTCTCATTTACCAGGCAACTCTGCTCATTTTTCACAATGTTTGTACATGGTATATCCAAATGGGACCTCCTCCCCAACGTACTTCGCACCCCAAAACGTCGTCCCTGCCTCTGCTATTGGTCCTGCTGTTGTAACACAGTCGCCTACAACTCCTAACAGCGTATCAGTAAATTCAATGACCCAGCCGCCTCAACAGCAACCAACCTTTGTGTTAAACCTTATTGATGGACAACCAATTCCCTGTATGCCGATACAACAGGTTCTTGTGGCGACCCAAGGACAAGTAACTACTTCTCCTGTATTCGCGAATGGGAACTTTCCGGGGACACCCAATGGCGGTAATGGTACAAATATGCAGAGTGATGGATATCTCGCTGATAATGTAAGGGAGGGTGGACTGACTCCATTGCAGCCGGTTTATTTGAACGATCAGCAAATGGCGACTGGCTCACCAGGGGTTTCACTCTCCCCAACACCTCTCACACATGTTTCCGCTCCTCCCTTGGGGTTCTCTCGGCATTTTGCATCGTGTTCACTAGTACAAAATGGGAGCAACTCTCTGCATGAGGAAACTTCCAATAATAATGGAAGTAGTGGAGGTAGCAGTAGCAATGGTAACACCAACAACAATAACAATAACAACTCCCTTCCTGTAGACGAAGAAAGGGTAGAAGTATACGCTCCTGACTTTACATCGGTAATTTCTTTACCGGCTTCTTCAATTCTACATCGTCCTCCACCATCATTAGGTGTTTCACGTCTTGTTCTATGTCGCAAGTACATTCCTGGTCGTCCAGATAGCTGCTGGAAAGGTTCTATGTGTAAATTTGTACATGCTGATCCTACAGGGGCACCACGTTCTCCGATTCATGTTAACTATTCTTGGAATAGCGTTGAACGTTGCACATACCCTCACCTTCCACCGGGTGAAATGATTCTTGTTTTAGCGCCCAATGGACGACAACCAGCAGAAACGTTTCCAAGTGAACGTGTTTTGGTTACACGTGGTAGCCTTAATCGCAAGAGTCATGTGGGTCCACTTTCGCGTTGTGCACATTACTACTTTAATCGACTCTGTAACCGCGGGGAGGATTGTAACTTTATTCATACAATGCATGTTGACCCAAATGTGGATGTGGACTTCAAGCGTGCCCCAGCTTCTACCACAATTGCACCAATCAAAAGACGAGGTTCTCGAACAAAGACGACCTCGTCGACGGCAGGCGATGAAGCTACATGTGGTATCACACCATTGCAAAACGTTACAGTGGGGACATCACAACAAGATGTGGGTGCTACTATTGCTATCAATGGTATTAGCACTACAACGACCACTACTGGTATCACTAGCGCATCTGACTTGGGTGGTGGAGATCCGAATACCAACATGGTTTCACCTTCAGGACAGGGATTTTACCTTGCCGTACCACAGCGTGCCACACTTTCTCTTTCCCGATCTTTATCCTCAGTCGGAGGTGGTAGCGCGCGAAGTAGTAACAGTGGCGCAACGAATCCAATGGAATGGTCGTTTGTGGAAAACTTGGAGACTTCCTTGTGGTCAGATGGGGATACAAGTCCTATGTTGTAATAGAACCTAATATATATATATATTCTTTCTTTACCAATGAGTATCTACGGATGCAAAAGAAGGTAGTGGACATCGATAGCAAAAAAAAAAAAAAAATAATGTCAGGCTATGAAAAAGGTGGAGTAGGGTTTGACAGGGAGGACTGTGTAGGGAATGAAAAGAACATTTGTCTTGGGAGGGGGGAGGGGGTAGATGATCATGTAAAGGATGAGAAAGCGGCGCGATTATCCCCTTCGTTTTTTTTTTTTT